CAAATATAATATAATGCACGCAATAAGAGGTGTGTGCTGAGCTCTCATATGTACATACATATATGTTTGAAGAAACAGAGGTTTATAAACTGATGTTAGTTTAATTTAAATGTGCAGAAATGTTATAAGCGCGTGAAAACATTGTCCAAAATTTAAAAAGAAAAATAAACTCATTTAATGTGGAATGGGAGAAAAGTATTCATGTAAGGAAAGGTCTGGCAGCATACAATGTCTGCTGAGTAAAAAACATATTCCGATAAAGAAATACAATATTCAAAAGCATTATGAAGCGCAACACGAAGAATATGAAAGGTATACAGGTGAATTTCGTACCGATTTTTTATGAACTTATGACAACATTACAGCAGAGGTTTTTAAGTTATTAAGTTGTTCCATATATGGAATTATCTGGAATATTGTGCTTTTACGAGTGTTCTGTTGATAGTAATGGTGCATTCCATGTTAGCTATGCGATTGCACTTAAAATGGTTTTAGCCAACCACTTATTTTTCGATGGAGATTTCATTAAATAATGCATTTTGGAATCAGCTCGAACTTTAACTAAAGAACATCTTCCGAAATATTTATTATACGTTTTATTATTTATCTTACATTTTATAAATATATGGTAGTTATAAAGAAACTTAAAATTGTTAGGCAATTTTACAATTGTTACCCACAGTGCAACTATCCATATATACGCGAGCTCTCATTCGTAAACAACGGTGCAAAATGTCACGAGTGCTAATATGACCACCTCTGACGTTACAGAATCGAGTCAGAAGAAATATATGAAGCACGTAAGTACAGGTGGATTTAATTTTTTATACCGTTTAAAAATTACATACGCTTATTTGCGTTGGAATACAAGCAGTACTGTTATCGAATTTTCAAATAAAATAAAAATAGACTAATGTATCATGGAAGAGAATGGATGGAAGGGAATAATTTGGGGTACTTGTGTATTTAGCAAAGTATTTATTTAAACAAGAAAAACTGTTAAGCTATAATGCTACTTTTTTTAGACAAACGTGTTAAGGTTACTTAATATGTTGGTCTTCATTTTTAGGTTTGTATGACAGGTATAAACTATCGTGATCCGATCTGGACAGTTTGCTCCCAGATTACATGTTTTAGTGTTTAATCATGGGTTTTTACCGCATTCTTTAATAAAAATGCTTCGTTTCAGAATCTGCAATAGCATTAAATGTTTAGATGATCAAACAAAAGCTCCTATTCCGTATACACATGAGAAGCTTTGGATCGGTGTTTATATGGAAGCTACACAAAAAGCTCTTTTAAATTGATTCTATGCGGTGAACATTTGTTTGCGGTATGTATTTTTCCTTTGGGGAATGATCTTCAATAATACGAGTATAGCAACATTATCGGTTTTCTTCAACTCGGCTTTTCAACAAAAATAAATTTCGAGAAAGTCATCGGACTTAGTTCAGGCAAGGGTTCAAAAATGTTAGGTGGCTAATTGCACAAATTCTGCCAAAAACATTGAATATTTTGAAGTAGAACATAAATTCCATTTGACAATGGTCGTGGAAAAGTATTCAATGTTTCAGCGGAGTGATCCCAAGAAAATTGGTTCCTCTGTGGCAACGAAAGAAACATTTGTATGTATATGGATTACCAACGATACATGCTTGAATATGATGTTTCGAGTATAATTCATATCACCTAGAAACTACCAATAAAAAAGTTCTTGGAAAAAGTAAAGAAATTGTCGAACAATAAAGAAAAAATTTAACTTAAACTGAGAAAACAAATGGATGTCTTTGTGGAGGGATCACAACTGTGCTAATACTGTCGAAACGTTTTTTCAGCGGCTAAGTGGGAATTAATCAAAAGAATTATGCAAATTTTTTTTTGAATACTGTCAAAATGTTTTTTCAGCAGTCGAATTAATCAAAGGAATTATCGTTATTTAGCGCACAATGGATTGTTTGTTTACCTATAGGAATGATGTCAGAAGAGGCGCTTGAAGTAAGTACTAAAAAATTACTCACAGAGACCTCGAAACTCTGCACCATGGAAAAGTTAATGCACGCTCTATTGGTTTCTGAGGACCTTCTCATAACTTTAAAATCTGGATGTCTCTCGAAGTACTCTAAAAAATACATTAATATCGCAGCTGAACTCAAGCAACTACTTTTACAATCAGCCGTATTTTAGACAAAAAAAGGAAAGTAAGAAAACGAAGAATTACAGCAAACATTTCCTAAATTTTTCATATAATTTGTATACAAAAAAAAACAAAAAAAGAAAACATTTAATAAAAATAAGAAAATGATCAAAATCAATTGATAAAGTATTTGTTAATAAAAATTAATTCTTTAAACAGCATTACATATAAAATTTGTAATTGCACGAAGTTCTGTCTGGCGGTATATTGTTCTATTAGTAAAATCATTGAAATCATTACAAATAGTTTAACTTATTTTCCATTTGCTGTGCCATTTCGTGAGAAGTAAATTGATCAGAAAACTGATTTAAATTAAACAAACCGGTTTAATAAAATAGTTATGGAACTGTCATATATTGATATCAATAGAATAACTTTGTTGTTGCTCATAGGATATTTTATGTGAAATAGTAACAAATAGGAAAATCGACGGCTAGTTTCAAAAATAGACCAAGCCAGTTAATTTTATTTTTAAGTTTGATATACGTTCTATTTGAGACAATTATATTGGACTTTTAAAAGTTTAACACTAAAGTAATGTTCTTTCAATGGCTCAAGAAGACAAATATATCTATAAGTTCCACTAAAATAATGAAACTTTTGATTTTTGGAAAACTTCATCAGGAACTGAAAACACTTAGTCAAACCTTTTCGAACGCGATTTTTCAATATGTAATTGTAATTTTCAGATGTTTATAAAAACGTTTTGTGATCAAATCTCTTGTATATAAGCTTGAACAGACACACATTTTCTTTGTAGCATTAGACATTACTTTCACTCCTTTTTTATATTATATTTATATAAACTACGTCCATCGTAATTGTTGTATTTACTATGAAATGTTTCTTTGATTTCTTCACATGCTTCATTTATAACCGTTACGTGAGTGCATACATAAATTACGAGTGATACGATCTTATTTCAATATCATTCAATTTCATTTTATATGCAACTTAGAATAGGCGTGTTTCATTTCACTAGCACGTTAAGCTATTAGCTTATTCCGTGTGAGAAACTTAGCCAACATATTTACATTGGCTTGTCAAAACCTATTTTAGTTTATATATTCAACTAAAGGTATTGCTAGTTCTTCTCGTTTAATTCAGAATAGTTAAATTTTTGCAGAAAAAAGTAGTTGGCACTAACAAGAAAGTTCTTCTTGACAGATTAAAATGTGAACATATTAAAATTACATATTTTTGTGAATGGGTATTGTAAAATTAAGACAAATATGAATATTTATAGTATATTAATACATTAATATCCCGTGTACAAATTTAATGATTAAAACTAACCTCTTCTCCAAGTCAGGAATTTTGAAATTAATTAAATATCAGCTGATTGTTCCTGTCCGCATTACTAACACACTTCGTTTTTAAGGCAAAACATGAAAAAAGCTAAGTGCGTTTTATTTGCCAGCTATTAGCTTATGATGGTCAAATAAAACACGTCCAATACTTTCTCTGTGATTATATTTTACTTGTAATGTATAAAAAAAATATTAAAAGCTCGATTAATGATCAAAGGTCGAAAAACGTTAAACTGTCACATTTCGAGATGGCTACCTACATTCGTCCATACATGTATATCTTGCAAGGAGGGCAAAAAGGCAATTAAAAAGTTCACACCATTGAACGAAATATTCCTATGACATAAGACGATTTTTTGAGCTGAAATTATAAAGGATTCGAAACTTCGTATTATTGTTCGAAGCACCCCTATGAGAAAAGAAGACTTCTTTAACAATAATTTCAAACAATTTTGACAATGATTGTGAACAGAATAATTTAGATTATCATTTTTGTGTATCTCACATTTCACACCATTGAACGAAATATTCCTATGACATTAGACGATTTTTTGAGCTGAAATTATAAAGGATTCGAAAGTTCGTATTATTGTTCGAAGCACCCCTATGAGAAAAGAAGACTTCTTTAACAATAATTTCAAACAATTTTGACAATGTTTGTGAACAGAATAATTTAGATTATCATTTTTGTGTATCTCTATTACTCTCTTATCAAGGTTGGTGACATGAAATATGATGGTCTCGGTTCGATCTAAACGATTTCTAGAAAGATTGTATTGTTGCCGTGGATAATAATTAATACCATATTTTTTGTGAAGATACCTTGTCAAATGAAAAAAAATTTCCATACAAGAACTCGATTTTGACCGTTTACTTTCTGTGGCAGCTATATGCTATAGTGCTCCGATATCAGCGATTCCAACAAATGAGCAGCGTCTCTGAGAAAAAGGATGTGTGCAAATTTTCAGATCGATACCTCAAGAACTGAAGCACTTATTTGCATATATATGGACGGACCAACGGACATGACTAAATCAGTTTAGCTAATCATGCTGATAATTTATAAAGCTGAATATTGTCATCATGTGCAATACCCTTCTACATTCTCAGGTTGCAAGAGGGATTTTCTTCTTATGTTCTGAATAGGAACAACATTCAAAACTTATCGTAGCTTCGTCTATCGTCTATCGTTTTCTTAAGCAGTTTCGTTTACGTCTTGACGACTTGAAAAAAAAAACTAGGTATTTAAGAAAGTAGCTGGTATTAAACGTTTTTCTTTCACCGATAGTAATAAATTGACGCAACTTCGCAATATGTGACCAGCCTTTTGCGTTCAAATCTTTAAGAAAATACTATATGAATTCACTTATAAAAACAACTTGATCAGTGCCTCTGCGAGTATCGAGATGTTTTCGCACATATCACGTTAATGCTTTTACTGTTCTTAACGGATTTGTACGTTTGTCAAAGAAAAAATAATTAAAACAAAAACGTAATTAAGTTTCCCTCGTATGTTTATTTCGCAAAGAAAGTATTTTCAATAATTAATACTTTCCTTATTATGAGTTCTTCAATTTTACCTGACCAAGTTATATTTATGTCTGTATGATTTGCTCATATAGACTACTAATTTAAAATTGTTTCATTTTTCTACATGGTTATATGGTTATACTAATCGCTCCGAACATATATACATATATACGTATATATATATATATATAACTTCGCAATACATGATAAATATATATATATATATATCAATATATACATATATGAGTGAGTGACGTTAGATTTCCAAAGTATCGATGAGACCGCTAATATACTTTATGTCTTTGGTACATATTTCCTTAAACCAGTTAGATTTGCTCGAAGTGTTTTCCGTTGTTGTTGCTATATTCACTAGTTCAATATGTATCGCTCCGTGCAATTACATCTAAGGCGACCTTTAAGTTATCGCAAATGATTGGTTTTCACGCACTGCTGTGATGTTGTGTTGTAGATGTTTGCTGTTGCTGTTGTTGCTGATGATGTAGACTTGCAGTATTAACAGCTGCTGTGACTGCATTATTGGTGGTCTGTTGGGCGGCTGTGAGAAAGTTTAGCGCTCGTGCGTCGTTATGCAACCGCAAGGCTTGCTCCAGCCGGTGCTCCTGCATACGTATCGCTTCACTAAGATCGGAAGTTAGCTGTGACTGCTGCTGGGAAACTACGGTTGTGGATTGCTGTTGTAAGCTGACACTGGTGTTTAGCTTTTGGTTCTGTTGTTGAGACAATAAATGTTGGTGATGATGCTGCTGTTGTTGTTGCAACGCCACATCACCTCCGATTAGTTGTTGCTGTGGCGTTTGATGGGCTTCGGCTTTAACCTGTATTGCGTTGTTGTTCTGTGAAGCGCAATTATTGTCATTATTACTGTCATTCGCGCTTGTTACAGCTACATGTGCTCCACTACTACCTCCTATGACGCTGTTGGATGCCGCCACGGTTGCGGCTAAACGAAAAGCCGCTTCCGTGTGGGAGCGAAGTATAGCTTCCGCATGCTGCTGCATACGTAATGCAGTATCTGGTGAGTGCGGTTGTTGCATCTGATTCAAATGATGGTGATGATGCATTGTGGCATTCTGTAGTGCTGAAGCCACATGGTGTTGGCTTTGATGGCTGCTACCGGAAACGCTGTGCTGGCTATAAGACGTGTGTCCTGTTTGCAAATTGTTCGTCGTATGGTGTTGATGATGTCCGTGAATATGTTGATCATGTTGCTGATGCATTCCACTTAACGGATCGACGACACTCATAGTACTGCGCATCATGGAGTCACGCATAGCGTTCATCGTCACGACTGCGGTAACTGCAGATGAATCTGATTGTATATTTGGAATTATCGTGTTCGGCGAGTTAGCACTCATACGCAAGCCACTAGGGGTCAATGGCCCTGATATCGATGTTTGATTGTTGTCTGCGGTTTCTTGCTGCTGCTGTTGTTGCTGCTGCGTCTGATGTTGTTGTTGATGATGCTGCGTGTGCATGGGCTGCTGACTGGACGTATTGCTGACTACATTAGCAACACTAGTTGATGCACTGTTATTGCTACAGCCTACGGCAATATTGCTCCCGCTTTGTTGTTGGCTAACTTGATTAATGCGCATCGCAGCCGCCAAATTTACAACAGCTGCTTGCACACTTGATCTGGTAGATTCAACGCAGCCAACTGGAGATGCCATGCCCACACCAGATACACCAGCCACATTTCCTCCACCACTTACTCCGGCGCCACTAGCTGAAGCTGCCACAGCTACCGCAGCTGCTGATGCAGCGGCCATCAATGACATGCGATTTGCCACGTGTATATCCGTGTCAACACCGACCCCATACTGATTGCTTATGTGAGGGTTACTACTTGTACGACCCAATAGCTCATTCAGTTTATTGCTAGTGCAATTATTGTTGTTATTGCTGTTGTTAGATAGTAAGTGAATACCACTTCCCTGCTCAGAAGCTGCAGAGGATGAAAGGCGCCCTGTCGAAGAGCATTCCGAGTTAGCTGAAGGCGAAGGACATAGAGAATTCGAGCCCCCGCCATCACCTATCAAAGGCAGTAAGCCGTTGCCTCCATTGCCACCTCCGCTGCACCCTCCGCTAGCAGAGGCAGCTAGCGTTGCAGCTAGTATTGAATCACGTTCTCTTCTTTCTGCCGCTGCCCGTGATAAAACATACTGTGCAGCAAATTGGTGCTTAGGATCCATACGCATATGTTCCATGTGTGTGAGAAGACCTAAAAAGCATTGAGAAGAAGACATTGAAATTATTTTCGTTCTATATAGACAGTTGTGTTAAGTATACGCTTTTCCAAATATGGTATACACTGTTATTTAAAAATATTATAGTTCTCTTTATTTTAGAGTATGATTGCCTGTCTGACTAATTTTAATTAATTTTGATCACTCTTATAGCTGTGGATTCTTACCATTTTCATGTGTGAATACAGCTTGGCATACTGAACACGGCCACATGCGCAAACTATTTGTTAGCTGCGTTGTTTCCGGATGACAAGCCAAGTGCTTACGCAGTGAGCCCTCGTTTACATAGTGCTTTCCGCAGACCGGACATGGATGATTGGCAGTCCGTCGCTTAGCCAAATACGGTTCGCTGGATGATGACTGCATACAACCGGATACCGAGTTATCAACATAGGGATCTGTACGAAAAATTGATGTAGAGAGTTTTAAGGTCATATTAATAGTCAGTTCTTAAACAATTACTTGCTGGCAACAACTAATGACTTTTTGTTCAAATATCTTTGAAAATGCTTATCACCCACAATGCCAAGACAGTAATAATAAACAATTGTATATATAACATAACATATGTTATAATGTATGGATTCAAAAAACATATTTAGACAATTGCATTCACACATTGAGTTGTATTCTTAAAAACCACCCCTCACCCGTTACTATATACATATACATACAAACATATTTATTCAGTTACATTAATTAGATTTAAAATATATAAAGACGTAAAAACTGTATAAAAATTAAAATGAAAGATTTAGGACTCAATGAAAGCCTTGATTTTCCACTACCAGTGTTAAAATTTTATAAAAACTATATGGTGTTAAATCGCTTTTGGCATTTAATATCGTTTTTTTATAATAGCAACCAATAAGGTATTTCAAAATCTCGTGTTTGCAGCACTTAAATTCATACACACGCCAACTTGTCCCTCATCCTACAATTTTGTGGATTAAAATCCAGTTCCTGTATTAAAAAGGTTTAAAAAGCTTGGCACAGATAATTGTTCAAGGGAATGGTAAAATCTCTAACTGGATTACAATAGCATACTGCTGGCGTATAATCGGATCGATAAAACTCCAGTCCTTGTATGAAAAAGTTTTGTATTTGAAGAAATATGTTAACGAAATTCGACAAGAATTATTATCTACGGCAACGCTACAATCACGGATAAATATTCCAGATCGGATATACTTATGTTTATATAGCTAGCATTTTTTTGCAATCTATTGATCAAAATCAAATCCTTTTATGGAAAACTCTGTATTTGTGAAAGATACTCTAGCATCAGTGTAAAGGAAGTTAACATTATTTCTCGTTTTTAAATAAAATGAAACAGCTGCGTGCAAAATTTCACTTTTATAGTATATACCGTTGTGTTTTATTATACTCTTGCAACCAGTTGGAGAATGGAGTCATGTGTAGAAGTTGACGCAAGTGAGGAAAGTTTTCTGATCGCCATTCACGTGGGAGTGGCCAGAAACGATTCTTTTACATATGACTCAAGCAGCTCACGACTTCCGGTCCTTGACCAAGTATCCTCTGGGTAGCCTAAG